AAGGTGTTGATGGTTCCTGGCTTCAACTTGTTGAACCAAACTCTTGCTGATCCCTTAAGTGTAGTCGGCACATGATTTCATCTGGCACAACGTGTAAATGCATAAGAGCTTGAAAAGTTTCCAGGTGATCGAGGGGATCTTTGGTCCCATCGAAGCTTTCGAACAAGGGCATCCTGAACTTGCTAGGTAGTGGACATTTCATAACGGTGGGGCTGAAAGGCAAGTTGGTCCTTTGTACCAGATTATCTACAGCGGCAGGATCTTTCCCTTTCATAGCCTGTATTACATCTTCCATTTTCCCCTTGAGATCCTTGATCTGCAAGTCGAGATGGGTAACTTTCTTTGTCTTTTCCTTAAGACAGAAAACTATGCTTTCAGGAGATAGGTGAACCACCTCTCTATGTCGGGTTCCCACCTGGCTTTGTTCCACTTCAGTCTCATTTTGGGGGGAATGATTATCCCTCTCTTCAAGATTTTCATTACCTCCATTTGGACTTGAGAGATCTTGTCCTGGAAAGTTTTGTTGAGCCGGTGGAACAAGGTGTTGCAAGAGCGTTGCATTTTGCTGGATCAACTGGTTCATACCCTGACTCAGAGTTTGAACCTGTAGTTCCAACGCTGCAAGCCGTGCTTGGTCGTTTGGGACGTCCAGGTTTTCACTCGACTCTACCCTTTGACCAGATCCCTGCGACGGTGTTCCTTCGGTAACCATACCGGACTGCAAACGTATATACCCAAAGAGTAATTAATTGATTCAAGGGAATCGTGATTCCCACAGACGGCGCCAACTGTTGAGGCTGAAATTCACGCAGTCCGATACGATACCGCTTTCCTGCAAGGAAGAGAGGAGAAGATCGATGAACCTTGACGGCACCGGTGTGGTGCCTGCCAAGAGCTCTCCGACGATCAAATTAGTCACGGAGGTCTAAAAAGAAGGTAGGGATTAATAATAGTTTTTACGTCGTACCTTCTTTAATGGCTTGATGCCCTATTTATGGCTGTCGATTGGAATCAAAATCGTTCCGCTGATATCGATGGTTGACCTTATCTTCCGCTTGTGCGAAATCATAGGAGATTTATTACCAGATTTGTCGGGATATGATTTAATCCTTTTGACCTCCTCTAGTTATAGTAGGATTATTCTTACTTGTTGAACCACGTCAGATTTGATTTCATTATCCTTGATAATGAAATCTAATCAATCTTATCGAGGGTAGGGTAGGTTTATATTTTTCCCTATCAGCTACGAAATTAAGATGGATGAAAATGTGATCGAAAAACATACAACTTAATGATTGGAAAAGATATATATATATATATATAAGCATGGATATTGATGGAGTTAGGAAAATATAAAGTGAGGTTAAAAGAGAAACAGAGACCATCGCAACTTGTTTAAGATAAGAACAAAGAGGAGAGACATGAATGATCTTTTTTTTGGAAAAGATGAGGGAAAGAGAACGACGTTAAATGTCGTTAGAGTATGGTGAATTCAAAACGGTGCAGTTTTTAAACTTTGGTAAATTATTCTTATCTCAAAATAGTGCAGTTTTTAAATTTTTTTTTAATTAGTTATCATGGTTTAACAAGGGCAGTAGATAGATTTTAAATGTCACGTGCCAAATCTATAGCAAATTCAACTCAAGATAACTTAAAGAATATTTAACTTAAAGGATCTAAGTCCCGCATATAATGCCCCAATTTAATTCTTTTATTGCAAGAACTATGTCTGTATATATTTTTGGCAGTAATAAGTGGCCTTGGTTTGGCCACGTTTTACTCCACTTAATAGACAGTAAGAGTGTGTTTGGCAATTGTACCACTGTTTATAACTAACATTTCACCATCATTTATAAGTAACATCATAGAAATCTAAAAGTAATATCACATAGTCTAAAAAGTAACATCACCACCATTTATAAGTATCTTTACCCTCAAAACGTGGTGATGTTACTTTTTAGACTGTGATATTAATTTTAGACTTCTGTGATGTTACTTATAAATGGTGGTGAAATATAAAAATAGTCATCACTACCATTTATAAGTAACATTTCACCGTCATTTATAAGTAACATCACAGAAGTCTAAAAGTAATATCACATAGTCTAAAAAGTAACATCACCACCATTTAAAAATTTCAGAATCTGGGAATTGTATATTGTCATTAATTCTTTCTGTTAAAACAAGTAGTACTCCTTTATTGAATTATTATAGTTAACGCCTCTAAAAAAAATTGTATTTTTTGAAAATGCAAGCACTACAAGTAATTTCATAATTTGTTGAATATATGCTTAATTTGATTAATTTATTTGTGGAAATGCTAAAAATTATTCTAACCCTGGTTGATTTCTTAATTTTATTTGAATTTTCTTAGTTGAGTGCTCAAAATAATGTCCAGTATTAAAATTGCACAATTAGATCGATTTTTTCAATGGGTGTCTAAAATTTAGGCCAAAACTTGAATTTGCTGAACTGGGAGTTACATATTTAGATTTATATATATTTTTACATTTCACCACAATTTATAAGTAACATCACAGAAGTCTAAAACTATTATCACATAGTCTAAAAAGTAACATCACCACGTTTTGAGGGTGAAGATACTTATAAATGGTTGTGATGTTACTTTTTAGACTATGTGATATTACTTTTAGACTTTTGTAATGTTACTTATAAATGGTTATAAATGGTGGTGATGTTACTTTTTAGATTATGTGATATTACTTTTAGACTTCTGTGATTTTACTTATAAATGGTGGTAAAATGTTACTTACAAAAAGTGGTACAATTGCCAAATACAATCTTAGTGCCTATTATATGGAGTAAAACAAGGCCAAACCTAGGCCACTTACCTCTCACTGTAGGAAATATCATGGGAATTGCATTGCAGATGATGTGCGTCCCTTTAAAACCTTCCCCTGGTCCAACTCAGCCGAAGCCTCCTCCTTCCATGACGCGGTCGACGAATTGCTCACCACCAATCGTGGCGGCCGAGAAGTCCGTCGCCGCCTGGCCGGTGGATCAAAACGTCAACGTAATAGACCTTCAAGTCTCTATCTTCTCTCTCTAAAACCCTCTCCATCTGGTCCGATTCAGCCAACGCCTCCTCCTCCTTCCTCCACGAGGTCGACGAATTGCTCCGCTATTCGTGGCCGCTGAGAAGCCAATTGTAACCTGCGCCTCATACAGTGAGGGAGAAAATTCTTTTGAGGGGGATTTTTACCCAGTTTGAGAAGCATTTTAGGAAGACAATGAATGGGGATATTTGGGCCCACTTACTCACTTCTTCAAGCTCTCTCTGCTTGCTATCAATTCATTCTCCTTACTGCGTGAACCCCTTGACTCTTTGTTTTGTGGGTCGTATGCGCTGTCACTTTAATGAAAGGAGATCTTAGGAAAACGACTGAACCCTGGTCTGCAGATCAGTACTGTTTGGGATTCAGTTAGGGATTTAATGCCTGGAATAGAAGTTCTGTTTTCAGATCAGTACTGTTTGGTTCTCAGAAATGAAGCGATGGCAATTTGGAAAAGATTAGGAAAAGCCATTAGAAGGATTTTTAAGGAGTTAGATAATTCAATCTGCCGTGACCCGACAAAAGGAGACGTGATGAATTACCCTTAGAATAGGTCGTTGTCTGTTGAAATGGCTTTGATTTTGGAGTTGTTGGAGAGCTGGGTAGTTGGGTCATTTTGCAATAATATGGAAGGGCAGTTTGAGAATTAAAAGATAATCTAAAATTCCAACGCTTTTTTCTTTTTCTTTTTTTAACCCTGGTAAGAAAATATGCCATACGCCATACGGCAACTACAACAAGATCATCGGGCAGATACAGAAGATCAAAAACACATAAAACACCATTCCAAACTAACTAACACCTCTTATAGTCAAGATCAACAATCTTGACAAGCTAAAGAAAAGGTGCCAGCTATAGAAGGAAAACCATCACAACAAAAGAAAAAAACCACCAGCGAGAGAACAAAACAAACCAGCGCAGGCACTAGATACGACGTAATCCAACAACGGACGCAGATGCATCAGATCTACTTCCAGCCCAAAACACCAAAAAGCTCCATAAAGGAGCAGACAAACAAACCCAACTCTGGCGACCCAGCAAACATCTACCCTCGGAAACGACGCAAATCAGGAAATCGGGAACAAAAACTCACGATGAAACGTGAGAGACGCTGCTTAAAGCGAAATCTCGACGACAACAAGGAAAAACAACAAAAGACGGCATGATTCACTCACCAAAGAAGCTATGTACAGCACGCCAATATTATTAATTAGTGGGTGGTCGAGATCGAAACCTCCCCACTCCCATGGAAGGGAGTAGGGAGGAAGCAGGGGATGAAGGCAAGGAGTGGTGGCCTACCGCTTAAAAAAAAAGTCTATTAATTTAAAAACCTAGAATTTGACTTAATTTAGACCTTCAAGACGCGAAATTTTTTTTTAAATTATCCATAACAACAATCTGTGGGTCCTCTTGTCCTTGACTAGAAACCATGGCCGTAAGTTCATCACGCGTTGTATTGAGGCGCTATTGGATCAGTTGTCATGTTTAATTATTACGAATATAATGGTTTTCACTAGTCAACTTCTAATGCTAATGACTTTCTAATAAGTCTAGTATGGTAATTATTATTATTATTCTCCCCATAAGGGTCCATTATATAATTTTAAAACTGTTCACTGGTCTACGTGGAAAGAATTAATCCACAATTAATTCCTCACAACTGGATACAAAACACACAGACGAGGGCTGCTATCTATTTTAGGCCCACTGATATTTGTTTCTGTGGATCATCCCGTTTCCTTGTTTTATAACTACAATACATATATACGTTCAGAAAACTATGGCAGGGTCAAACACAGGCTGAAAAGTAATAGCATTAGTGTTTCAAATAGCTTATATATATGCATTTGGAATGTACAACTAAAGTCATAACCACCATAACTATATTTGAGCACATAATCATCTAAGCTTCCTTTTTATCATCATATAAGCCTCAGGTGAGAAGCAGATTAAAGAAAATGAGTGTAGAAGTGTTAGATGGTGCCACCATTGTTAGCTTTGTGGAAGATGAAGAAGCATTCAACGGTTCAATCCATGACCGCTTCACCTGCCTTGACACAGACCATGACGGACTCCTCTCCTATGCAGAGTTGTTGAAGGAGCTGCAGAGTCTCAGGGTGTTCGAGACCCACTTCGGTATTGATGTTAAGACCGAACAAGATGAGCTCTCCCGCGTGTACACTTCCCTCGTCGTGCAGTTCGATCACGACTCGAATGGATCGGTGGATTTTGAGGAGTTCAAGGCAGAGACGAAGCAGATGATGCTCGCCATGCCAAACGGGCTAGGATTCTTGCCCGTCCAAATGGTCCTGGAAGAAGACAGCTTCCTCAAAAAGGCAGTTGAACGCGAGTCCTCCAGGATAGTTGCTGCTGAACTTGTTTAAATCATCTGAAGTGACCTGTTTTCCTTGCCTTTGTATTTTGAATTTTACATGAATAAGAAATGACTTCCGTGTTAATTTCCAGAGAAGCATGAGAATTTTTTCTTTATTTCGTAAAATACTAAAACTAATTCTTACAACTGCTGTTTTCTCCAACTAAAGTCATAATATCTTAAATGAATTTGATTCGGTAATTTGATATATCGAATGGCTTTATAACTTAAATGAATTCCTAATGCCTTCAATGATCTACAATCACAGAAATTCCCAATCAATGATCTGTTTTGTGAGTTGCTGATGTATTATTATTTATAATATAGCTTGAATTTGAATGAATGAATTATTATTTTTGTTTAAATTGAAGAACATGCATGGAGGAGATTTATTTATTTTCCCTCTCTCTATTCTCACTTTGCATATGATTTCAATTTTAAACCCTTGTTTTTTTTGCCCATTAGCCCTAAAACAGACACTAAAAAAACCCTAATCAGCATATATATAATTGATTGTTGTGCTTTAACATGAACATATTCATTGGAGAACAAATTATTTCAATGTATGGGGACTTTCTCTCTCTACCCAACTTTTCTCTCGCCTCTCTCTACCGCTCCTCGCCTTCATCCCCCTGCTTCCTCCCACTCCCTCCCATGGGAGTGGGGAGGTCCCGATCCCAGCCACCCACTGATTAATAATATTAGCGTGTTGTACATAGCTTGTTTGGTGGGTGGATTCACGCCGTCTTTTGTTGTTTTTCCTCGCTGTCGTTGATGTTTCACTGTAAGCAGCATCTCTTACGTTTCATTGTGAGTTTTTATTCCCGATCTCCTGCTCTGCGCCATTTTTGAGGGTAGATGGTTGTTGGATCGCCGGAGTTAGGTTTGTTTGTCTGCTGCTTTACGGAGCTTTTTGGTGTTTTGTGCTGGGAGTGGATCTAATGCATTTACGTCCTTTGCAGACGTACGATGTATCTGGTGCCTGCGCTGGTGTGTTTGGTTCTCTTGCCAGTGGTTTTTTTCTTTTGTTGTGGTGATTTCCAGAGGTGAAGATGTTTCAATTTTTTTTTTTTGGAGTAATTACTTTTTATTATTGTAATTAGTAATATTGATAAATATTAAATTTAGAAACTATAAATGGTAACAATGGTTTTGTATTAAAAGGAAATGATGTAAGTAGGTTTCTATAATGACTGTTAGATTAGATCTAATGATCACTATAGAAAGTGCGGATGAATTTTCATGCTCCATATGGAGCAAGAGATTATTACTCTCTCTCTCTCTCTATATATATATATATATATATATATATATATGAATATTGATGGAGTTAGGAAAATACAACATGAGGTTAAAAGAAAAACAAACTTGTTTAAGATAGGAATAAAGAGGAGAGAGATGAAGGATCTTTTTTTAGAAAAGATGAAGGAGAGAGAACAACGTTATAGTATAGTGAATTCAAAACGGTGTAGTTTTAAACTTTGGTAAATTTTTCTTATATCAAAACAGTGCAGTTTTTAAATTTTCTTTGAATTAGTTGACCTGATTTAACACGAGCAGTAGATATATTTTAAATGTCATATGTCAAATCTATATTAAATTCAACTCAGAATAACTTAGGGAATATTTAACTTAAATGATCCAAGTCCCGCATATAATGCCCCCATTTAATTCTTTTATTGCAAGAACTATGTATGTATATATTTTTGGCAGCAATAGGCGATTTTTCTAGAGATTGATTCACATTTTAAATGCTAATCAATTGTTGGCCAGTATATGTGTTTGTCTATCTATGTGTGTGTGTGTATATATATATATTTATCTATGAATATATAAAGGTTAAAATAGTAATTTTAGAAGTCAAATAAGTTAATTCACAAATCAAAAGGTATAAAAGTCCATTAACATTATTAGGGTGTCAATGTTAACTTTAGCAAACTAAATGGGTGTAATTGTCAAAAAAAAATGGCCAAGTTTCATCTAATTGTCAATAGGGCAAATCACAGGGGGTGTCACATTAATTAACCCTAATTAAAAATATATATTTTAACCTAAGGCTCCGTTTGTTTAGACGTAAAATATTTTTCAAAAAATATTTTTTATTTTCTGTTTGGTTGTTGTAAAATATTTACAAAGAAAATAAATATTAAAATTTAACAAAAATAGCTTATCTATCAATTTTCGCCAAATTATTTTACATGTTCGGTTTGATGGACTCGATCTCAATCTCGATATAGACCTTTGTCAAACACTGAAAAAATAAAAATAAAAAAATATTTTACCTGAAAAAAATATATATTTTCTAAAAAGAATATTTTATGTCGCTCAAATTCTCATTGCTTAAAACTTAATTGTGCCGCTCAAATTCTCAGACTTAATTGTGCCGCTCTCACGCTCCCGCTATTAAATTTCCTTTCGCTCCAGTTTTATGTGACTTAGATTTTAACACATTTATTTTAGATTTAAACGCATTAAATATATATTAAAATTTAGAACAAATGTACTAAAAAAATAAATTTAAGCATGTTTAAAAAAATAATTAATGTACATTGGAGTGAAATTCTAATTTTTCAAATTAATGGAGTTTTCCCGAATGAGATATGGAATTTTACTGTAAATTATCTTTTTATTCCTTAACGGCCCGGCAGACCCTTAAGTCTCTTTCTCTTCTCTCTCTATCTCTCTCTCAAAGAAAGAATAGTATTAGTCATAAGAGAAAAGAAAAGTAAAGATAGTAATAATTTCTATTTAGTGTTTGGATAAATAGTAGAGAAAATAAAAAAAATGATAGTTATTCTTGTTTGGATAAGATAAATGAGAGAAAAGAAAAGAAAGGATAGTTTTTATCCTTTCATAACCATGTGACTTGAATGAAATAATAAATCTGTATATTGATTTATGGAGGCTAATTTTGATATTATCAAAATATTACTTAAAATCACTATACTTTCTCTCCCTATCTCCTCATACGTTCTCTCCCTATCTCCTCAAAATTGAAGAAAAACGCAAATAAGAGAAAGGAGGAATAGCTATCCCTCTCTATCTCTCCCTATCCCTCCACTTAACTTACTCAAACACAAACTTACACTATCATCTCTTTTCTTTTCTCTCCCTATCCCTCCAAATCAACCCTACCAAACACACCCCCTGTCTATCCAAACACACCCTAAAACCTTCCCCTGGTCCAACCCAGCCGACGCCTCCTCCTTCCTTGACGCGGTCGACGAATTGCTCACCGCCATTCGTGGCCGCTGAGAAGTCCGTCGCCGCCTGGCCGGTGGATCAAAACGTCGACGTAACAGACCCTCAAGTCTCTGTCTTCTCTCTCTAAAACCCTCTCCATCTGGTCCGATTCCGCCGACGCCTCCTCCTCCTTGCTCCACGCGATCGACGAATTGCTCCGCCATTCGTGGCCCCTGAGAAGCCAATCGTAACCTGCGCCTCATACCGTGAGGGAGAAAATTCTTTTGAGGGGGATTTCTACCCAGTTTGAGAAGCATTTTAGGAAGACTTGAGAAGCATTTTAGGAAGACAATGAATGGGGATATTTGGGCCCACTTAACTCACTTCTTAAAGCTCTCTCTGCTTGCTATCAATTCATTCTCCTTACTGCGTGAACCCCTTGACTCTTTGCTTTGTGGGTCGTATGCGCTGTCCCTTTAATGAAAGGAGATCTTAGGAAAACGACTGAACCCTTGTCTGCATATCAGTACTGTTTGGGATTCGGTTAGGGATTTAATGCCTGAAATCGAAGTTCTGTTTTCAGATCAGTACTGTTTGGTTCTCAGAAATGAAGCGATGGCAATTTGGAGAAGATTAGGAAAAGCCATTAGAGGGATTTTTATGGAGTTAGATAATTCAATCTGCCGTGACCCGGCAAAAGGCGACGTGATGAATTAACCTTAGAACAGGTCGTTGTCTGTTGAATGGCTTTGATTATGGAAGGGCACTTTGAGAATTAAAAGATAATCTAAAATTACAGCGCTTTTTTTTATTTTTATTTTTATTTATTTATTTTTTTAACCTTGGTAAGAAAACATGCCATACGGCATCTACAACAAGGTCATCGAACAGATACAGAAGATCAAAAACACATAAAACATCATTTCAAACTTATTAACACCTCTTATAGTCAAGATCAACAGTCTTGACATGCTAAAAAAAAGGTGCTAGCTATAGAAGGAAAACTATCACAACAAAAGAAAAAAAACTACCGGTGAGAGAACAAAACACACCAGCACAGGCACCAAATACGGCGTAGGTCAGCAAAGGACACAGATGCATCTGATCCAATCCCAGCACAAAACACGAAAAAGCTCCATAAAGGAGCAGACAAACAAACCTAACTCCGGCGACCCAGCAACCATCTATCTTCGGAAAAGGCACAGATCAGGAAATTGAGAACAAAAAAAACTCACGATTAAACGTGAGAGACGCTGCTTACAGCGAAATCTCAACGACAGCGAGGAAAAACAACAAAAGACGGCATGAATCCACCCACCAAACAAGGTATGTACAGCACACCAATATTATTAATCAGTGAGTGGCCGGGATCGAAACCTCCCCACTCCCATGGGAGGGAGTGGGGAGGAAGCAAGGGATGAAGGCGAGGAGCGGTGGCCTAGCGCTTAAAAAAACCTCCATTAATTTAAGAAACTAGAATTTGACTTAATTTAGACCTTCAAGACGAGAATATTTTTTGTAAATTATCCATAACAATAATCTATGGGTCCTCTTGTCCTTGACTAGAAACCATGGCGGTAAGTTCATCAGGCGTTGTATTGAGGCGCTATTGGATCAGTTGTCTTGTTTAATTATTACGAATATAATGGTTTTCGCTAGTCAACTTCTAATGCTAATGACTTTCTAATAAGTCTAGTATAGTAATTATTATTATTATTCTCCCCATAAGGGTCTATTATATAATTTTAAAACTGTTCACTGGTCCACGTGAGAAGAATTAATCCACAATTAATTCCTCACAACTGGATAACAGAAACACACACAGAC